CCTGTGGAACCAGGAGGCCCAAGCATAATACAATCAATTCTGTTTGCATCTAACGACAGATATTTATATATATATAAATATATATATATATATATGTCTTATGCAATATCAAATAATTAGCATGAATCCTACATACCTTCGGAAGGAGACCCACTAACCGAAAAATAGTGACCAATTCTGTTATCGATGCGAACGCCCCGACACGGATGCGTACCCGAACTTTGATCGTCATGTCGATAAACAAAACCGTCTCCATTTGTATAGTAGATATAAGTATTTATTTTTTTTTTTAACAAAATGTCACCAATGGGAAGTATACGTACCTTTTGGGTACCCGTGCTGCCAAGTAAAGTAGCCGCTATTGTTATAGTCAGGTTTTACGCAGGGGTTAGGTCCTACAATTAATGCAAATACAAATAAATTTCTGCAATAAAAACTTAATAATGAGAATACATACCATGTGGAGGTTGACCCACTTGGTAAATGTAACGACCGATGACGTCTTTGGGTGAAGGGAACCAACTCGCGCAATAATGTAAGCTACGATTTCCTATAAAGGTTATTACAATGTTTTCTTTCATAATATAACGGTTAATTTTACACACATACCAGGAATGTTACCATGACAGTTATTTTCAAGCAAAACCAAGACAAATGCCAAAGTTACTAGAGCCTGTAGGCCAATGATTCCCATTTTACTTATTTTTTTATATATTTATTTTTTTTGTAGTTATTTTAACCTTTTAAATTATTATTATTTTTTTTTTTTCAATTACGAATTTTCTAAAAACGGATATTATTAAATATATATATATATATATATGTTTCCGCGATCGGATTATTTAAATCGGGTAATGTATCAGATTATTTAGTTTTACTTCAATTTTAAAAATTGTATTAATTCACGTCAGACGTTCGAAAATAATAAAATTGAAATCAATTTATTACAATTTCAACTTTTTGTTCTTGGCTTTGAAAATTTTTCACTTATAATTGACAGATAATACAGTGACGAGCAAAACTGGATAATGTAATGTTCAAACAAACCCTATACTTATCGTAATAGAAGAAAATAGTTTGGATAACACATTAAACCTTACCGTCTTCTCATGTCTTAACCTAGCGACGGAATTCCTTCCCTTGGAGATTCTTCCATAGTGTCGGGGCTCGTCTGCCCCATGCAGACTTCCTCACCGCTTGGCCAACTACAGCATATAATCTCATGGTTATGGAGGGGGCTAAATCATGTAGGTCAAATCGGACAAAGCCAAAATAAAAAAACTTCTTTTCAAGAGACAGTTTCGGACTGTTTATATTTTTTTATTCATGACATTTTTTGTGCTCTTATGTTCTATTACACAAAAGTTATCGCGTGCACAAAATGGTCTTATTCTAATATTAATAAATCTCTTTTCGATATCTGAATTGGTAAAATGACACGTCGCGTATGTCTAGCGAAAATATTATTAATGAGAATGAAGGACAATTTCTTATATTTTCAAATGCAAATGCTAAAGAAGAGGAATATTTGTTTTACGTTAACAAAATTCGAAGTTCGCTCATTTATTTCTCCTCCAAAGTAACAAAATTCGAAGATTGCATTGCATAGTTTAACATTTCTGTTTTTAGCACCTGAAGCTTTAAAGGCTTTACTGCAAACTCTAGCGCACTTGGAATTTGAACCCAGGGTGAAGAAGGAGGAAAAAGAAGAAGAAGAAGGTTATTAGGCGAGAGTCTTTCCCGACTCGTTCACTCACGGGGATTCACTTAAATATAAAGCAAATTGCATTTTTATAATTTTAGTTCTGTTAACGTTACTGCAACCTGTTAAGGGGTTTGAATCTATTCTACATTCGCTATTACTTTGTTCAGAGTATAAGACATAAATCATTGCAAATGTTACCATTCTCCATAACAGCCAATAGATGGCATCACTCTATTATTAGCTAACTAACAAATGTGTTTTACCGATTCGTAGTTTTTAAACGGAAAACGAAAATTATACAATTTTGTAAGAATTACATCCATTACTTGGGGAGAAAAGTTTCTAAGCTCATGAAAGCTCTTTACAGATCAATAGGTACATTTACACGCTAATGTCTTATTGGGTTTAATTAGATAACACTCTAAAAAGAATAGTTCGCAGTTCGATGCGTGCTCATTGTTCTAAAAAAAAAACTCAAGTGGTTCGCATACATGCCAAACGATGGATATATTAAAGCCAGGTTAAGGTTAGGAGACGATTTGCGTCTTTGACACATTGTTCGTCAGTTTAATGGTACATTAGCTAATTACATTTTTATTTTTCTTAAATTTCTTTTGCTTTATCTCTTGAATTTACATGCATTGAACTACATTTTCCTATATATATGTACATATATTGTTTGTCAATTTCACATCAATTAAGGTTTTCATATGACTTCACAGCATTTTTTTTTGTTCTAAGTTGTCGCTATGCTTACCTTTAAAACGCTCATGCGTTGCGCTGCATATTATTTTGTTAATTTCATCACACCTTTTACTAAAGGTTTACGCAGACAGAGTAATTGAAAACTTGTAAAAAAAAAATGCTTGCGTTCTATGATAGAAATACTTCGTCTAGTGCGTAATAATTTTGTTGCTCAAATTTTGCTAACGAAATGCTGCATCTTATATTTATATAGTGTTTTTGCGTGTAGTCGAATAATTATTACAATAAGTTATATGTATATAATAGATATTATGTATAAGCTCTTTTTTTAAATTCATTTTCTTTATTATTTACATCAAGAAATAACCAAAAAATTGATTTTTTTTTCCGGTTTTCATAAATTTGTGGTTTTACTTCTTTTTTTTCGTTCTAAAGTCATATGTTTTTTTTTAACATTTTCCTATAAAATAATGTGGTAATGCAGCGTTTGTAGACGGTATAGTGTGGATATAAGAGGTTTTTAGACGTTATTAGTTTAGTTATTAGCTGTGTTTAGACGATATTGGTTTGGTTATTAGGTGTATTTAGACGGTATTGGTTTGGTCATTAGCTGTTTTTAGACCATATTGGTTTGGTTATTAGCTATTTGCAGAAACTAATGCTTTGTGTGAAATTCAAAGCAAAAGCAATCATTCAATCATTGTTTTATAAATATTTTATTTTTATATACATTTATTTAATATAAAATGAAAATAATTTAAATTAATCTTTTACTTAAACTTTATACTTCTTTAATTGGATATTTTCTCAAGGTAATTGAATAATCAATATTTTCTAAGTGCAAGTTAGATATTAATTTAACTACAATCTTATTATTTAGATCAATTTAGTATACCTTGATTTCATTCATGATAGAGTCCTAGTAATAAAATAATAATGAAAATAGTAGAGGAACTAGTTCAGTAAAGAAGGTTTGAAATTTTTATATATAATAATAATAATAATAAGTAAAACATTTCACACCAAAAATTAAAAAAATAATTGTAATTAAAACAAATCGTAGGGAAAAGGGGCTTCGAGAGCAAAATTTAGAATCGATGCCACATTATTAATTAAATTATTAGGAAGAAGTGCTGATTATTGTCTTTGAAATGTTACGAATCATCATTGCAACTTTTAAAGCCGAATGTTGCAAAGTATTTTGAGATTTTACTGCATAACTCTGTATATGGTCGCATAAACAGTTGACTTGAACAATATTAAAAATTGTAAACAAATTGGATTCTTATTCTCACATCTTTGGAATGATTGAGAATCATTTTCAGTTGAAGGAAAATTTTTATACGCTTACTCTCGCATGCACGCAATTTTTATACAAATACTTGAACAATATTAAAAATTGTAAACAAATTGGACTCTTATTCTCACATCTTTGGAATTATTGAGAATCATTTTCAGTTGACAATGGTAGAGCAGAAAGGAAGACGGAAAGAGAGAGACTTAACTTAAGTTGTGAAAGAATAAAAAGCAAAGTTTTACGCTCAAAAAAGACCTCCAAATGAGCACAGAAAATAAAATTGAGATATTTTACTCTCAGAAAAATCAAAAACACCTTTCATAACAATATACTGTAAAGGAAATTTTTGTCTCATAAAAGTCAAAGAAAATGTACAGCAAAACAAATTTAATTCTCATAAAAGTTAAAATAATTCTTAATAAAAATGTATGGCAAAGTAAATTTTACTCTCAGAAAATTCAAAGAGAATATAAGGAAAGTAAGTAAAGTCAATTGAAGAAGAAAGAATAAGCAACTATAATAAATAATATAAATTATTATGTTTTTCCATTTAACAATGCTTTATGCTTTATAAACTTTTAAATCCAAAAATCCCAAGGTAGCTCTTTTATGGCTAAAATAATATTTAGCCGGTCAATATTTAATTACCATGAAAATGCCTTTTACGGTCTTTTTATATTACTTTTGATTTACCGAATATTATATAAAAATGGGTACTCAGTGCAAAGACCAATATTAAGTTATAAACATTTATTACGTTCCTACATAGAAAATAGATAGAATTTTATGCAAGATTCAAGAATATACATAGCATATGTACTTTATAAGTTGTGAAGTTTATGAAGTTTTCCGCCGAGCGTTACAAGCATATTGAGAAACGACTATACCTACTCATCTCTAGCTAATCAATGGTAGTAATGTTCGTGTTTGTGCTTCGATAGTCTCTCTCCATTTTCATATACTTTCTTGCCGCGAGTGCTTGTGTAGATACAGAGAGGAATGTATGTGCGTGGAGGCTCTTTCACAAAATTCACTTTGCCATACATTTTTATGCAGGCATAAGCAAACTCTATTGAGGGTAAAATTTATATTCCGAGTGTGAAATTGACTTTGCCGTACATATGTAGGCCCCAAATAAACTCTGTTGAGAGTAAAATTTACTTTCCGAGAGTGAAATTGACTTTGTTGTATATTTCTTATGCAGGCACAAGTAAACTCTCTTGAGAGTAAGATTTACTTTCCGAGAGTAAAACTGTGAGTTTACCTATAAAAGTGGTACGGTGCGTATTTTGTTGTTGCATTTTATTGCCATCTCCCGTGAATGTAAGGTGAGCAGCGAATATATTTAAACGGATGATGGATATACTTTAAAATGTTATATAGATTTAAAATATTAAAATAAACAAAACGAATAATATGATTAATAATAATTAAAATTAAAACAATAATAAATATATATAATTTTCTCAAATTCAAAGAGAGAGGTTGTGTTGCGTGCTGTGCTGTGGGTAGTAGTGTTCTTGTTTGCATTAAATAGCGGTGATATGCGTTGGTGTGTTTTTGTTGTGCTAAAATCTTGAAGAGTTTGAAGAGTTGGTCGTACAATTTGCATAATTAAATTGAAAGTAAAAAATGTTTTATTTAAAAGAAAAAAAAAAAAAGTAACATTTTAAAATAATATTTATATCTCCCTCCTCCTCCGTTACGCTTCCATTAGAACAAGTTTTCCAACATATGTGAAATAATTTGTTTACAAAATTCTTCTCATGCACATCCCTATAACTAGTAATAAAAAATATATGAAGGGATAAGAATTATAAAATGTGTAAACAAGAGCAGCTAGATAGGCGATTTTGAAAATAGTAAACAAAACCGAACAATCAACCACAACAACAAAGAAAAATAATAGTAATAAAAGAAAGAAAAAAAAAATAAATAAATAATAACAAAAGAGGAGTACAGCGAAACAACAACAGGCACTACCAGCACCAGCACCAGAAGCAGCAGCAGCAGATAGTAAATGAGTAAACGAGTCAGTTACTTCGCGCAGTGTTCCCTTTCCCTACTCAAGGTAATAACAATAATTTTACTGCTAGGGTTACGTATGAATGTATGAATGTATATATATATATATTTATGTATATGTTTATGTCTTCATTTGCTTCTTTTTGTTTTTTTTTTTTAAGTAATTATGGTTATAAGATTTTCAATCTGCGATTCACTTGCAACATATGCACAAAAACCAGTTCATCTTAAATGGTTTTCTTCGTCTTCTTCTTCTTCTTCTTCTTTTTTCTTTTACAACTTTATTACATCTCAACGAAAGTATTGATTTTTTTTTTTTTTTTTGTAATATGTTTGCTGGCATTGTCGAATATGCGTGTGCATGATGCGTAATTTGAATGACTCCACCACCACCACCAGTGAGAGTGTACTCTGCACATGTTTTAGTTTTCTTTTCTGGGGGGCGCTTGTACTTCTTGTGCAAATATCGTGCTTTCTTGAAAAAATTTCACTTTATCTCAATGTAATCAAAAGCAACCACACGTTCAGTTTCTTTTCTTCTTCTATACTCGCTACCGGACAATGAAGGTAAACTAATTATATTTTCAAGCTTGTAACAATCGGGAATATGTTCAAGATGATGGTCAGATGAAAAATGAAATTTTAATGAAACCCAATAAGGTACAATTTTAAAAAGAAAATTTATCAGATCTCAGACAGTAATTAAGGTAATACTACGTAGATTTTCTTATTATACTCCTCATGGAAGGATGAGTAAGGAGTATGTTAATTTTGGCAAAGCGTTTGCTTCAGAAACGCATACATTTTTGATTATCATCTAATTCTTAATCGCTTTAAGTGTGTCCGTTTGTCCGTCTTTGTAATATCTACTGTAAATATTCTCCTGGTTGCATAAATGGACTTAATATCGACTTAGCCTATATTAAGTACGATAATTTTCAAAGTCCCATAAAAAAAGAAATTCTCCCGCAAATCGCTTGAAAGGCTATTAATAGAGGATTCACGCTATGCTAGTATCATTTTCTCACAGGGCATGGTTTGCCCAAAGTGATCTTTCAAACTTTGCTTTTATCTTAGCCTACATAATGTTAAAAAAATTTTTTCAAAGTCTCATAAAAAAATTCTCCGAGCGAAACTTAATATAATCTGCATGCCGTTGGAAAGGCTGTTCACGGAGGATTCACGACGTACTACTTTCATTTTTTCACAGGGCATAGTTTGCCCACAGTAGCTAGGCCCACAGAAGCTAAGTTCGCCCTCCGAGACTTCGTTTAACAGAATTTTGTTCTGTTAACGGCTTAACAGAGCTGTGTGTTTGGTTAAGTCGTTGCTAGTTATATTTAAATATAACTTCGCTCCCTTCAACGAACACACAAAGGATTACTTCTTGCCTAGGCTGACCTATTGGCAACTGACGACTTCAAGTTTTGTTTTCTTACAGATATGCAGAAAAATGCTGTTAAAAAATAATTCTGGCCACCTTTGGTTCGCCAGAAAAGAACTAACACGTTTTTACAAAATTTCCTAAAGTGACAGTTTTTTATCAACTTTTCCTTTGAATCCTATAAATTTATGTAAAGGTATTTGTGGTTGCATTGGTGAAATCTTACGTTATTTGTGCTTCAAGTTTGAATGTTAAGTTTGTGTGAATGTACGTAACGCCCAGAGGGGCTTGAGATTGCGCCACCCATAATTGTGCCGATCGATTCAAAGTCACGTTCTGAATTGATCTGAGCTTATATGTCCGTCCGTCCGACTTGCATTTTCCACCTGCAAACTGCAACTTTTAAAATAGTTTGATCAAATTTGGTATACCGACGTGTTCTGACCCAAGGACGAACGCTGTTGAGAACAGTTTCCATCCGATAACATTTTCAACCATTTCCGATTCTTGTAGAATTTTTTAAAATGTTTTTGATGAAATTTAGTACGCTGCCATGTTCTGGCCCAAGAATTAACGCTCTTGAAAATGGCCCCAGATTCGGACCACTTCTACTACAAGGCCTTTTGTTGGAAAATCGTTATATGAAGAATTGTATTAAGCGAGATAGAGTAGGGTATTTAAAGATGAATCGTGTCGCACTATAGTGTTTTCACTTGTTGTTTCAATTTCTGTTACTTTTCCTCAACACACACATTGTCAACATTAAAAAAACATTGCTCACGTTGTACTTATGTCCTTATTAGACTTTGTAAGATTTATAGATATATATGGATAGATGAGTATTGCATTATATACGTGTAGGTATGTTTTCTTTTTTCGCTCTTAATCTCTACAGTAGTTCCAATCCCTATCGGCCAGTGGACGCCATTATATTGATTGATATGCGTATTATTTTTTTTTTTTTTTTGTTTTTTTTTCCTCTTTTTTAATTTTTTCTTGTTTTTGAAACATTTTGCGTTTATGTAAACATTGACTTATCGTGCCATGCTTTCTTGCTTATATGTATAAGCATTTAAATATATGCAAATTGTTTGCATAAATCTGATTAAATCGGACATTTTTCATTGATTGACACTGCTTTCAAACCCATACATAGCAATTATTTAAAGACTTAATTTATTTCCTTACTTTTCGTCATTCTTCTGCTCATTTTTCATTTAGGCCGCTTGAACGCATTGTAGTTAATTTTTTATAAACAAAGCGGTGAAAAATTTTATGAAAATAATTGAATCGAATTAACAGTGTTTTCATTGCATTATATCTTCTTTTTTTTTTCTTTTCAAAAACATAACAACTATGATTGTACCGAAATCACTTATCATGGACGGACAGGTGAAAAGTGATAAAACGGAGCGAAGAAAAATTTTCGCAGGCGTTTCATTTACGATAGCTAATGTATTGCGAAACGTTATAACCCCTAGCATTTTATATAGTGGCTTTAACAGCATTCAATAACATGTAAAGAAAATTATATTCGGCTATGACCGGATATTTTGTACGCAGTATCGTTGGTCTAAAAAAAAAATGGGGAAAGACCAAATTTCTTTACACTATAATATTGAACGGGTGTGACTAATTTTCTCTATTTTTGCAGGACCAAAGTAGGAATGTCTATCGTGTGTCTGTTGAAGCTCATGAGTAATGAGCATAAAAGGCGAAGAGCAAAGGCGTGCAGGCATGCAGGCGTACCCTTTCTTTTGACAAATTTGAAGGAGTAATCTTAATTGTTGCGAACGGAAAAACGTGTACCGCACATACACTAAACGGCTGGGTAGTTGGACAGACGGACAAATGGGCAAAAAGACAGGTTAAGTGCATTAGGACATGTCGAGCGCATTATTGGCTTTTTAAAATTTGCTTATGGCCATTGACAAAAAAGAAACAGTTAGATCGTTATAGTCGGACAAGGCCGGCCAATATACATCCTACATCAATTTATCTAATGCAATAATTCGCTTGTTTTGCTAATAATACATCAAAAGTTATACATCATTTTCATGCAAAAGCTACTTTTCATGAAAGTCAGCATATTGGAGGATGCGAAAAAAATCGCATGACGTGATCCGAATTTTACTAAATTAATTTACTTCTCAAAAATGTTGTTATTTTTCAGCTTTCTTCTTGCTTGTTTTTTCTGATAACCATCATATATCTTGGGATCTAAATAAATTGACTTATCTGAATCCAAATTCCCTACTAATAATATTTTTGTTAAACGTGCTGCTACGGGTTAATTTCAATTATATAATATTCTGAAGAGCTTACAATTCATGAGAAATCTTATATGGAGTGAGGCCAAGAAATAGACCGAAGTGTTTCAAATTTGATCCAAGTAATTTTTATATGAAAATACTATACCTATGAAATTTTCTTCATACAATGCTAACAATTAAGCCTTTTTGGCATGTAAAGGTTTACTTATCCTAAGCCTCCTTATATGCGGTGGCATCAAAAAAATAGACTCATATGATCCAAATTCGTTAAGATAAATTTTTTTGTCAAGTTAGTGTTATGAACCAATTTTCAAAATGAAATATTGAAAATGAAAGTTTTTGGTCATTCAAGGACTCAGTTTTCGTAGGAACGCTCAAAAACTACCCGAAATTCAATTTTTGTACCAACTTAGAAAGTCGAAATACCATCGCTCAGTGACTTTTCGCGAGACATAACGATGTTTGGAGAGTAGTTGAAAAAATGGGCCGATCGGTCCATTTTCAATAGCGTTCATCTTACGGGGAAGACAAGTCGGACAAGTCATCAAAATACCTCAAAAATTGTAATGGCATGTAGTTTGAGGGCAGACATCAGACTAATGGACGGGCGGACAGGCAGGCTTCAGAACCATTTTCCCAATCGATCGATATAATAAAAGGTTGGTCTATCTTAAGCCCCCCTTGGTGTTACTTGCGTCCGCACAAATATGGGCTTATCCTATACAATAAATGGGGTACGTTAGTTGTATCCTTTATGGACCCCTGACACGAAATCTGAAAGTAAGATATTCGTTCGTTGCTAGGTGAACACCGTTTTGATAGAATATGAGTTTTTTATGCGAAAGATATTCTGACTTTTAAGGCCACTCACGATATCGGCATAAGAAGAGCAATACTGATCAAGCTGAAAATAGGTTATAAACTGAAATCGGTGTTACTCAGAAGTGGGGACGGTTGCCTCGTCAAGCTTTGCAAGACCTTCCGTGCTCTATAACACTTCAGCGAAGGCATTCTAAAGGAACGTCACCTTAACACATTTTGATGGCCGTTTTTTTTTTTTTTTTTTTCTAACATTCGGCGCATCATCATGACTTATCTTTGATAGTCTGCTGCAAATATTCATTTCATCCAAAATTGCTTTTAGTTCATCGTTTTGAAAGTAACTACTCAGCGGTTCATTAGACTTTCGACGCAACATCATTTCAATAACGACTCAACCTGCAAGGCAAACCTATTGAATATTGATTTTTTTTTTGATTCTTTTTTCGACTAAGTGGACACAAAATTTCTGCATTTATGCCAGTCTTGATTTATTAAATGAAATTTTCATTTTTCTTTCGCCTGCAATTTTTGCCCCGGGCCGGTCTCTCTCTCTTATTCTTCACTCCA